CTTCAAGTTATTTCTGAGTTATTGGTGACCCTAAGGCAGGGCTAGGCAACCTTTTTGAACCGAGGGCTGGGTTGCTGTCCCTCAGACAACTGGGGGGCCGAAGCACCATAAATAAATAAATAAATAAATAAATAAATAAATAAATAAATAAATAAAAATTTAAAAATAAAAAAAATTAAACAATTTTAAAAATATGCATGCACACTCTCTCAGCCCCAGAAAAGCCATGGCAAAACCCCTGTGGAGATTTTGCCAAGAAAACCCCAAGAACAAGTAATAACAACAATAATCAATATCATTATGGCGGGGGGCAACGGCGGTGGTGGCAGGACCGGCCTGGGGCCGGACCAAAGGCCTCGGGGGGCCGCATCCGGCCCCCGGGCCTTAGGTTGCCTACCCTGTCCTAAGGAGAACCTATCTTGGGGTTTTCTTGCTAAAATTTGTTCAGAAGGGGGTTGCCTTTGCCTTCCTCTGAAGCTGAGAGAGTGTGACTTGCCCAAAGTCACCTATAGGTTTCTATGGCTGAGCCCTGGTCTTCAGAGTCCTAGCCCAATACCCAAACCACTACACAATACTGGCTGTCATGTTTTAGTTGAGTTGCCCTGAGACACATACAAGGAGAAAGACTAATAAGTGAGACAGGCAGGCAGACAAACAGGTACTGATGGCTAAGAGAAAAAAAAGAGGTCTCATTTGCACTGCAGAAATAATGCAGTTTGGCATGGCTCCATGGGATGGAATCCTGGGATTTGTAGTTTGTCGTTGCACCAGAGCTCTCTGGCAGAAAAAGCTAAATAAAACTACAGATCCCAGAATTCTGTATCATTGAGCCATAACAGTTAAAGCCATGTCAAACTGCATTATGTCTGCAGTGCAGATTAGACCCAAGTCTGAGCATGCATCTACACTGTAGAAATAATGCAGTTTGCTGTAGCTCCATCCTATGGAATTCAGGATATTGTCGTTTTACAAGGTCTTTGGCATTCTCTGCAAAGAGTGCTGGTGCCTTGTAGAACTACAGATCCCAAGATTCTGTAGGATGGAGCCGTGGCAGTGCTACCTTTTCCAAAAAAAAAAAAAAGATGTTGATCCCCAGAGATCTTGGAACAACTGCTTTGGCAGCTAAATGCATTAGCAACGCCAGCATGGTGGAACTTGCTGCCTGGTACATCTTGCCCAGCAGGAGCTGCCATGACCTTAAACAAGCCGCTTTGCTTTGCCCAGAAGTTGGCACACCATTGGGTTCAATAGCTGGCGGTCCTTGGGTATCCCTTGAATCCTCAGAATGGTTCTGCCCCAACCCAAGGATGGGAAACTGCAGTCTTCCAGGTGTTTATAGCAATAGCATTTACATTTCTAGACCACTTCATAGTGAACTCAGCACTCTCTGAGTGGTTTACAACATGTAAGCCAATTGCCCCCAACAATTAACTAATTGTTGTATTATTTTTTGTTTTAATTGACTTTATTATTTTATTATTGTATGTATTTTAGATTGTACGCCTTTGGCAGGTTTTTATTCTATTTTATACTTGATTTTCTTTTTGTACAGCGCTGTGTATATTGGCAGCACTTTAGAAATAAACTATAATAATAATAAATAATAAGCCGTGGACTCATTTTGCCAACCCATGAAAGGATGAAAGACTGACTCAGCCTTGGAGCCCTGGGATCGAACTCACAACCTTGTGGCTGCAGTACGTTTAACCACTGCGCCACCAGGGCTCCTGGTTTATGATATTTCCCATCGGCTCCAGCCAGCACAAATTGGTGGCAGATGATGGGAGCTACAGTCCAAAAACCTCTGGGGGAATATAGTAGCCCCTTCTTGGCCTAGCCCCTCCTTGTTCCCTACCCCCATGAGCTGAGCCAGAATGGCATAGTGGAGACCAGGATTTGGACTATGACTGTGGAGATCCGGGTTTGATTCCCTGCTCAGCCATGGGTGACCTTGGGCACGTCACATGCTCTCAGCCTCAGGAAAAGGCAATGGCAAACCCCCTCTGTACAAATCTTGCCAAGAAAACCCCACAATAGGTTTGCCTTAGGGTCACCATAAGTCAGAAATGACTTGAAGGCCCATGAGCCACCCCTATCAAGGTATATACAACTTAAAGCCAGCCATGTTATTTTGGCATATGAGGCAGAAAATCTCACAAGCATTTCTCCCCCTCCATGGTAACTTTTTTAAAAAAAATAGTAAAACACCCCAAAATAGCAAAGCAAGCTATTCATGTTGTTGTTGATGCCTTCAAGTCATTTCTGGCTTAAGGCAACCCTAAGGTGAACCTATCATAAGTTTTGTTGGTAAGATTTGTTCAAAGGGGGTTTGCTTTTGCTTTCCCTATGGCTGAGAGAGTGTGACTTGCCCTAGGCCACCCAGTGGGTTTCCCTGGCCAAGCCAGCCCTATTGGTTGGCAGGGATTGCAGCTCCCATCATCTTCCAACACCTTGTGCTGGCTGGGGCTGTTGGGAATTACCAAAAAACAACTGGAAGGCAAGGGCAAATCTCCTCTGAACAAATTCTGCCAAGAAAATCCAGTGATGTGTTTGCCTTAGGGTTCCCATAAATCAGAAATGACTTGATGGCACATGGCAGCAGCAGCAACAACAAAGCCACCAACAGGCTTCTAGTCCAGATAGCTAAGAATTTGTTTCTCTTTTGTGACACTTCAAATCTTCTGCCCAACGTCTCGGAGGCTCTGCCAACCAAGAGGTGAAGAAAGGTAAAGAGCAGCTAAGTTGCCAAACAACAAAATGTTCCATCCTCTTTTATGGCACAGCCAACAAAGCCCTGGCTCTCTATGGCTCTCTCCCTTGAAAATCTGCCACAGTCTTTGTTAGCCACAAGTGAGCCAAGGATTACAGCTGACCTATGTAGTCCCTTCTGATACTCCATCTTCAAGTGGCGCTTGTGATTTGCAAGTGTGCACACAGTCAGAACTGGGACAAAACTGGAAGGTCATCTAGCCTAAACCCTGCTCAAGATACAATGAACCTCCCACATCCCCAGTAGCTCTCTTTCCAGCTTCTACAGAACGCTTCCCAAAAAAGAAATCCCACCACCTCCCAAGACAATCTGTGCTACTGCTGGGAAGCTCCTCTCACCAGGAGGTTTCCCCTATTTTTTGTTGTTGTGTGCCTCCAAGTCATTTCCAACTTATGGCGACCCACAGGTGAACCTATCAGAGGGTTTTCTTGGCAAGTTTCTTCAGAGGAGGTTTGCCATTGCCATCCTCTGAGGCTGAGAGAATGGAACTCGCCCAAGGTCACTCCAGTGGGTTTCCATGGTCTAGCCAAGATCTGAACCCTGGTCTCCAGAGATGTAGTCCAACACTCAAACCACTACACCACACTCCTATAGTTTGCCTGGAATCTGTTTCCTGGCATCCACTAGCCCTCGAAAAACAATGTCTCAAAATGTATGTTGGAATCCTGTTGGTGACATGCACATCCATAACTTTTTAATACATTTTATTATTGTGAAGTCGTAGGCTTTCATGGCCAGCGTCCATAGTTTTTTGTGGGTTTTCAGGCTGTGTGGCCGTGTTCTAGAAGAGTTTCTTTCTGACGTTTCGCCAGCATCTGTGGCTGGCATCTTCAGAGAATTTTATTATTATTATTGTCACTTGTTGTTCATCTGTCATTTTTAGGTATGTTTTAAACTATGATTGTTTAATTGTATTGGGGGGGCTGTTGGGAGATGGGTTTTATCATGTAAGCCACCCCAGTTTGTACAGAGAGGTGGGATACAATTATTATTATTATTATTATTATTATTATTATTATTATTATTATTATTATTATTATTGTCGTTATTATTATTATTATTAATTATTCCACTATGGAGCCAGCTGAACATTTGTGCCCAATGGAAAACCACTGTGTTGAGTTCAAAGTTGCAGAAGCAGAGTTACATAGGCAATGCCACTGAGCACATTGACACAGAGTCCATTGGTGGATAGGTGCATTGCTGATGGTTGTACCTTAATATGCATGCACACTGTACATAATTATGCATTGACATGCATTTCAGATGGAACTGTGCCCTTGTAACCTCTCTATTTACTAATGAGGCAGCATTTTGCCGCTGCCACATAACTCAATGTCAGGGTACACTCTGTCTGCTGGGTAGAGAATCTCAGCCATAATGTGTAGCTGTATAGCAAGCAGAGGTATGAGAATGTAGATGTCATCAAATGCATGTGTCACAGAATAGGGAATATCTGTGGTTGAATATATGGTATATTGGAGATGCAAATCTGGAGGGGTTTCTGTGGCAGAAGGGCACAGGTTGGTGGAGATGGGGTAGGAAATCAGAAAGGATCCAAAATGGTCAGACCCTACCTTAAATACTTTTGTCAAGTTCCGGGCACCATAATTGAAGAAGGATGCGGACAACCTAGAACGTGTCCAGAGGAGGGTAACCAAAATGGTGAAAGATCTGCCCTGTCTTAGGGATCTGGGCATGTTTAGCGTGAGGAAGAGATGGTTAAGTGGAATGACATGATAGCCATGTTTAAATATTTTAAGGGATGCCTTATGGAGGATGGAGCAAGCTTGTTTTCTGCTGCTCTGGAGACTAGCACATGGAGCAATGGATTTAAACTATAGGAAAATTCCACCTAAACTTTATGTTTAGATTCCACCTAAATGTTACAGTGAGAGTTGTTTGACAGAGGAATGTGCTTCCTCGGAGAGTGTTGTAGTCTCCTTCTTTGAAGGTTTTTAAACAGAGGCCAGATGACCATTTGTCGGGAGTGCTTGGATGGTGTTGGGAGTGCATGGCAGAATCGGGTTGGACTGGGTGGCCTTTGGGGGTCTCTTCCAACTCTATAATTCTATGATTCCAAGTAATGGAAGTAGGACACTCTTTCATCCTCAGTGAAAAACAGCAGTAAGCCTCTTCTGAACAAATCTTGCCAAGAAAACTCTAGGATAGGGCTGCCATATGTCTTAGTTGACTTGCAGACACGTAACCACTCCAACAACAGTGAAAAACCAGTGTGGTGTAGTGGTTTGAGTGTTGGACTAGGCCTCCAGGAGACCAGCGTTCAAATCCCTGCTCAGACACAGAAACCTACCGAATGATCTTGGGCAAGTCTCTCAGCCTAACAAGAAAAGCAATGGCAAACCTCCTCTGAGCGAATCTTGCCAAGAAAACCCTAAGCTAGGGTTCCCATAAATCACAGTCAACTGGGAGTCATACAAGAACAGCAAACTTAATTCAATTTGACAAGGGTCTCATTCTTATCCCTGGCTGCATTTGCACTGCAGAATGAATGTGTTTTGACCCCGCTTCAACTGCCCTGGCTCAATGCTATGGAATTCTGGGATTTGCAATTTTGAGAGTCAGTGTGATATAGTGGTTTGAGTGTTGGACTATGACTCTGGAGACCAGAATTCAATTCCCTGCTCAACCACAGAAACCCACTGAGTGACCTTGGGTGAGCCACATACTCTCAGCCCCAGAAAACGTGGTGATAGTTTTGCCTGAGGGTAGCCACGAGTCAGAAATGACTTGAAGGTGCACAACAATGAGATACTCAGCTTTCTCTGTCCAAGAGCTCTGGTGCCACAACAAACTACAAATCGCAGGACTCCATAGGATGGAGCCAGGACAGTTAAAGCAATGTCAAACTGCGTTCATTCTTTTTTAATTCAACTTTTTACAACACTATACTAGCTACCAAATTATGTATACATTTAGGTACCATTAGATTTTTACAGCATGTGACAAAACATACAGAAATTTTGACTTCCCGTCATTTCTCATTGGCTGAGAGAGAGAAAAAATCTTTTAAGTACTTCTCTTAAACTAACATATACAGCTACTAATCTTTATATTATTTATATTGCTACTATCTTAATCTGTTAACTTTCCATAAAGTGATACAAAAAGTTAGTACCGTAAGCCAATGCTAATAATGCGTTCCCTTGTTTGTCAGTTAATTAGTCTATATTGTACATACTTTATCTCTTTTAATTTACATAACTAAATGTTTTGATAATCATTTTTCTCTTTAAACATAACATTTTGCATCTTCTATATTGCCTTTTACACTTCTGAGTTGGGTTCCTTCCTTCCTTCCTTCCTTCCTTCCTTCCTTCCTTCCTTCCTTCCTTCCTTCCTTTTTCTCTCTTCTTTTTCTTTCTTTTCTTCTTAAATTTTCCAAATATTCTCTAATGGAGTCCATTCCTTTTTTTAAAATTTTATTTATTTGTTTGTTTTTAATTAAAGAAGTCATAATATCCAGTTCTCTCATGTCTAGAACTTTTAATTTCCCTTTGAACATTGTTGGGGCGTCTTCCTGTTTCCATTTTCTGGCTCAAACTGCATTAATTCTGCAGTGTGGCATCAGCCTCACTCTCTTCCTGAATTGCAGTGGTTCAATACAGCCCCTTCCTTGCATCGGCCCATCCACTGAATCAGACCAGTGATTCGCACATGCATGGTGCATATGGTCTAAAGTTACATTTTACTGATTCGTCAAGCAACCATATCAAAGCAGTTTGCATTAGACATTGTAAAATACAAAAGAGTCAAGTGTTTGTGTGTGTGTGTGTGTGTGTGTGTGGATCCTGCCCCTTTGCCAGCCCTGTGGACAAACAGGATGCTTGCTTAGATGGCTCTTGGATTGGAAAAGCAGGCAAGTGTTCTTTCAACGTGGCTGAATACCCCACTCAGAGCATAAGTGTGCATTGAAAAGCCAGAGGAATGGGGAGAAAGGATCTTCCCTTTGTGAATCAGGGGAGGAAAAAGGAGGCACTCTGCATTAAGGAGCAATCAATGTCAAGTGATTTCGAGTAGGAACCATGAGAGTCAGGGAAAAGGCATGCATGCGAGGGAAGGAAAGCGTGCTGGCATCAGGGCTGGCTCCCTCCCTCTTTCCCACTTTCTCTCTCCTTAACTCTCAGAAATACCTGCCATGGGGCTTTGAGGCCCTTTTCCAATGCTGAAATAAGCTGAGCGAAGCATAAAAGCTCTGCATGCTCTTTGTCAGAGGGAGCAGGGGTGCCCTTGAGAAGCAAACGGCTTCTGGAGCTGGATGCCAGCACATACAGATTTGAATCGTGCTGACTGGGTACCAACTAAGCAAATCCAGGGTTTGCGTGCTTTTTTTTCCACCACAAGGCAAAGCAAGTCAGAGGCGTAATGGGGCCAGTTCTGCACCAAGCAAGCATTAGTGTTTTCTTCCCCTCCCCAAATCATCTTCAGCCAAGATTAAGAAAGAAAACACAAGCTGTAACCCAGCTAGCTAAGCCTTCCTATTCTGTTCACGCACCCTCTGCCATATCATAGAAGAAAACCAGGACATGCATAGCCAAAAGCAAAGCAAAGCAAAGCAGCTTCATTTATATACTTCCGAGGTTGCTAAAATGAGTACCCAGCTTGTTGGGGGGCAATCAGCTCACAGTTGTAAACCGCTTAGACATCCCATGCGCGATATGAAGCGGTATATAAATGAAGCTGCTTTGCTTTGCTTACTGCTTCATACCGCGCTATGGAGTGTCTAAGCCAAGCAACATTAGAGTAGGACCCAAATGGCAAAAGTTATTAATGAGAAAGAACACACAAACTAGTGGAGGCTGCAGCAGTTTGCTTTTGCCTGAGTCTACTGGGAAGGCCATGATTCCACTTTCTCTGATGCTGAGTTGAGTTGAGAGCAAACTGCTCTGAGTGTCAGTGTGGCATAGTGGTTTGAGAATGGGACTATAGCACTGGAGATCGGGGTTCAATTCCTTGCTTTGCCATGTAAACCCACTGGGTGATCTTGAGCAAGTTACACACTCTCCGCCGCAGAAAGCCTCACGAAAGGTTTGCCTTTAGGGTCAACATAAGTCAGAAATGATTTGAAGACAACAACAACAAACCTCACATTTGGCCAGACCAGCCTGGGCAACTAACTGCTTTTGCCCTCCAAACTCACTTTGCAGCAAATGAAGTAAGTCAAGGACAAAGGAGGAAAGGGAGAGGAGGAGAGAAGGATTTTAAAAGCAGCTGAAAAACTGGGACAACAGAGGATTAATCCGGAGTGTCCCTACCAAATCGAGATGGTTGGAGGCTATGTGCTCACATTACAGCTGGTATTCTGGGTCTCAGAAGAATAGGACAAAGAGGCCTAATGCTTCTGGAGTTCTCATAAGACCCTTGCTGACATTCGTGACCATTTTGTAAAGCATTTCTGAGCATGCACAGAGTGCATTTCCCACAGCCCCTTGACACTGCTCATTATTGTCCCTCCGCTTGAGGACACCATCCTTTTACAAGTTCACCGCCGCCATATGCGGTATAAGAGAGACGGGGGATCCATTGTGTGATAATGATTTGGAGGCGCTTGCTAGGCAAGAAAGACAGAGACTCCCATCACTGTGCACAGTTTTCTCTTCACCCTTGGGGATGGAAGCGCCTTTTCCCTGAAACAGTTTGCAAGCTCTTGGTTCAAGGAGTATGAGGAAGGGAGGGAAGCATTGCTGTGGCTCTCATAGCAATAACCCACCATGCTGCGCCTTCCGGAGAAGGTGTGAAAAATTGCTGAGGAGAGCAGTATTTTCTCCCCACCAAGTGTATGTGGCTGCACTTGGAAAACAAGAGGGAGAGAAGGAGAGAAAGGGAGGAGAGATCTGCAGAGGAGAGAAAGGAAAATCACTGGGGCATGGGTGAGGAAAGAAAGAGGAGATGTCTGCTCAACCCTTTGAAATTCAGATCTCTCAAAACCACCCCGTCATCATTGTACATTGTGGTTTGCTAGTTTTTGAAAGAGCCCAGGACATCATCACCTCGCCTCACCTTGAGAGAAAGGCAAAGGAAGAGCCTGAGAATATAATTTCCTGTCATTTAGGGCTCTGCTAATACCCCAGAGGAGAGGATCAAAATTCAAAATGACCTTAATAGATTAGAAAGCTGGGCCAAAACCTAACAAAATGAGTTTCAACAGGGAGAAATGTAAGGTACTGCACTTAGGGCAAAACAATGAAATGCATAGATATAAGATGGGGGACACCTGGCTTAAGGAGACTTAAATGTCTGAAAGGAATCTAGAAGTCCTAGTAGGCCACAAGTTGAACATGAGTCAACAGTGTGATGCCGCAGCTAATAAGGCCAATGCAATTTTAGGCTGCATTAATAGAAGTACAGTATCTAGATCAAGGGAAGTAATAGTGCCACTGTATTCTGCATTGGTCAGGCCCCACCTGGAATACTGTGTCCAGTTCTGGGCACCACAATTCAAAAAGGATGTTGAAAAACTGGAGCGTGTCCAGAGGAGGGCAACTAAAATGGTGAAGGGTCTGGAAACCATGAAGCCCTGTTTAAGTATTTGAAGGGATGTCATATTGAGGATGGAGCAAGCTTGTTTCCTGCTGCTCCAGAGACTAGGGCATGGAACAATGGATTCAAACTCCAGGAAAAGAGATTCCCGCTCAACATTAGGAAGAGCTTCCTGATGGTCAAAGCTGTTCAACAGTGGAACACACTCCCTTGGAGTTTGGTGAAGTCTCCTTCTTTGGAAGTTTTTAAACAGAGGCTGGATGGCCATCTGTCAGGAGTGCTTTGATTGTGAGTTCCTGCATGGCAGAAGGGAGGTTGGACTGGATGGCCCTTGGGGGTCTCTTCCAACTTTAGGATTCTATGATTCTCCCCTACACAGATTTGATATTCTGGCAGTGACCTTGGAGTGGGGTAAGGAGAGGAGGGCATTGCCAGCCTATTGTGACTTTGGCACTCAACATTCACAATGCAGTGGTGGTGAGCATAGGCATCTGCCTGGGATTTGGACCTCACCAGGTGATGCCCTAATAGGGTGATACCACTGATTCCCAAACATCTGCCTCTTGGCAGAAAGAGTCTGTGCCATTTGTCTGCATGCCTTTAAAACACAGGAGCTCAGTGGAAGAGATGGAGTGACTGGAGTGAAGGTTAATGGGAACAAAAGGAGAAGCCCCAGATTTTTAAATATTTAAAAAAAATATTTAAAAAACAACACTATTCTGTTTAAATTTTCTCTAAAAACATCATATCTTAACCAATGTTCACTTTAACAACATGAAACTATGTACGTGCAAATGCATTT